ATCTTTGATGAAATACTTGGTAGGCTTGACAGAATCGAGAAAAGTCACTTAGGGGCTTCAGGCCCCAATCACTCCTAGGGTTGCCATGGGCATGTTCAAACGAACTGAGGGGCTACAAGACAATGTGAATGCCCGGCAAGGTAGTACCCTCAGTAGTATTATGGGCAATAGAGGAGCAAAGACAGAAAAGTTGAAGGAGTGTCGGGCCAACATGGCATGCCACAACATTAATGATATAAGAGGCAACAAAATTAAATTGAAGGCAATTGCAGAGTAGGCTTGTGAAAACGAGGTTGATTTATTGGGCTTAGTTAAGACAAATTCGAGTGAAAAAGAGTTAAAGTTCAGCTTGGATAAGGTAAATATGAAGGGTTTTTGGTCTTAATATAAAGTAACAAAAAGAAAAGGTTTAGGCATTGGTTTGCTAGTTGGTTCAAGGTGGGAAAAGCATTTGGGTCAGATGTGTAGATTTGAGGAGTATATGTTAGAGGCCTGGTTTTACTTTAAACAGACAGTGGTAGTAGTGATGGTAGTCTATTTGCCACCAAGTGATAAAATATTGATTAACAGAGTTCAGCAAAAGGTTATAACAAGCTTTATACAGAGAACAAGCAATATGCAATTTGTGGTAATGGGTGATTTTAATCATGTAATAAATAGAGAATTAGATAAATGTAGTAATGGGCTTAGTATAGTATCCAAGGTGCTTCCTTTATATAAATGGTTTAAAAATCAAGGTTTTGTCGATACATTTAGAATAGTTAATCTGGATCTGATGAAGTACTCATGGTCTGGTCAAGGGGTTGAGACGAGAATTGATCAGATTTGGGTTTCTGAAGATTTAAAATATAGAGTACTAGCAGCTGATATTGTAGAGGCAAACATTGATCTACCATTTTCTTTACTAACTTCTAATTCAGCCGGTACTTCTAATACATACGTCGATTTTACAACCACTATATCTTGGTGCATTTTAACTTGCATCTTCCCATCTTCAGTACTTGGTCCTCCAAATACACTTTCTTTTGGGAGTACTAGCTCTTGTTTTTCGACTATCACTTCTTCATGCAT